GGCTGCGGGGGCCGGGAGCTGCCACTGCACTCCAGCCTGGGCTACCGAGTGAGACTCCAACTCAACCAAACAAACAAACAAACAAACAAACAAAAACCAAGAATGAAACTAACACTGAAATGCCATTTCTACATTATGCCAGATAATTTTAAATGTGGATTGTTTAATTTTTTTTATTGGAACAGTCCACTAGCATCCTATGTCCATAAGATAATTACTTATACAACATAGGAATCAATTCTTTTCAAATGCACCTGTGTCAATGATTAAATGCAAATAGAATTGTGTGAATGATTAAATAATTTAATTAAAAATTTCAAATGATAAACAACTAAAATGAGTTATAATTTATAACAAAATTAATATACCTTGGAAATATCTGACAAAATAATTATTCTTTAAACTCTTCAAAATGAATTTCAACTATTGTGTGAAAAAAATAAGTACATGCAATGATGATGTCCATGCAGTAGTGGATCATTTCAGATACAAAGCTGCATATGTGACCATGACCAGGACTGTGCTCATCTCTGCATCTCTATCTTATAGTAAGTAACATTAATGCTGATATATCTGTCCACTGATCAGAAAATCGAGACTTTACATTGTATAGAATTCAGGTCAAGTCAGTCAGAAATAAGTGAATTTTCCCATAGCTTGATCACCAGTACAAAATTATTGTGATGATTTGCACATCAAATTTTACTTTGCCAGACAACATTTTTATGTATTTAGGGGTTCTAAAATATAAAACATAATTTCTCTCCCTTAGGTTAAGAAGAATTATGTAAAATGTTTTAAAAAATTCATTAGTTTTATCACACACCATACAATATTTATAAATTTATGTCTTAGATTCAAATGAAACTTTTAAAACAATGATAAATATATTCTGCCTTCTCTCAGATTTATAAAAGCAGATTTCATTACCTTTAGAATACTGGTCATAAAGACTGATGAACCCATAAGAATGAAAATCATAAGTCCAGTAACTCTTTGCTCCCGAATGCCAAGAAATTTGGGTTGTTCTCCTGGAGCTGAACATTCTGATTCCAGTTTTAGGCTATTGACATGAGTGATGGAGAGGACTGTGGCAGCCACAAACCATGGCAGGCCCATGATGGAGCACACACCGAGCATGACAGCTACCATTAATAGATCCAGATGGTACCCACAACCTTTCTGTTAAAAAAGAAAGAAAGAAAGAATAGAAACTGTGTCAACAACAGAGTTAAGGATTATGAATAGAAACCACTTCCTGACAATACCCAAGAGGCCCTTCATATCAGTTCTCCTGGAGATAAACCCTTTTTAAACACTCAGTTTAGTAAGTATCTTTTTTTGTCTCAATGGGTGACTTTTACTGAGAAGAACTATATCATGCAGCCTAAATGTCCTATATGTTTATATGTATTTTTATCTTAATATAGTGCTATCTTGTTCTCATTTGTTTCAGTTTCAGCACTACAAAAATCCAGCCTCTCTTTAAAAATGATAGTTTTTGTACTTTCTGTCTCCTCTGTGATTCCACTCCATTAACACTGACATGGTGTTGCATACTTAAGTGCTTCCTAGGACCAGGCAGGAAATGTAAAAGAGAAAAAATTTGTGCAATGGGGTATGTGAAGATTGCTTTGTTGGTTGGAAAGGTTGATCAGGTGAGGTCTCCTTGATAAGAGAATCAAAGATGGGGAAGAACACTGTTAACCTCTCCCTTCACATCCTGTAGAAATTGAAAGTGTAAAGCCTCAGGGGTAGCCAAAGGCTTGGCCTATTTTATGTTCCAGCATGGAAATAAATGAAGGCTCACTCAATTACCTTGAGCAAATCGCTTAATCTCTTGCACCTCCTTTTCCCTATCAGAAAAAATGATGCTGATGATAGTAGAAAGCACCTCATAGGGTTGTTAGAATTAAATTATATAATTTTGCTAATAGTTTAGAATAAAATTTGCTCTATAGTAAGTGCCTAGTAAATGTTAGGTAATACTAAATTCTAGCAGTTAAACAATAATGTTTTTATTTTTTACTCATTTGATTCAAGACTCCTCCATAAAACTATATTTCTTGAGATAACTTATCATATAGTTGCTCCATATTTCCCATAGTTTTTTAGTACAATCACTGGCATTTGATAAGCAATCAATAAAAGTTACAGATTGACTTTAAAAAAAATAAAATATGCATCATTAAAACATCTCAGGAATAAAGTTAAAAGAGTAATATTAAACTAAATACAGTAGTTAAATTTGTTATGATCATGAGCAGAAATTACCAATTCTTCTAGAAGAATAGTTTTGGCTTTCCTAGAGGCAGTTTTATCAAACTTTAAGTAGTTTTAGTTAATATGAAAACTCATATAGACTGGAGTGTGAAACTTACGGAGTGTTCCATTTTTGTCATGGTAGTGTCTTCTATATTTTGTTTTGCTAATTGTTTTCTTATTAAGAAAAGATTGTTAAAGTCAGTTGTGCTTTCTTTTATTTCTACTTATCCCTGTCAAATTATAAAAGTGCAATAGAAGATAGTGAAGAGAAAATGGAAGATATCTACCTAAGGACCTTTTCTTCCCATTTTTGTCACCAATTCATTGGGTCAGCTTAGTTTGGGCAATGCTACAGTTCACCAAAATGTCTAAACTCATTTCCCTGATGTATATGACTCTGGAAACTTTTATTTTCAAGTAACTCAGGAAAGAATTTCATTTGTAAGAGCTGGAGAGTAGAAAAAGACATATCCTGGTGTCAGCATAATCAAAAAGGCATGTGAAGAAACTTCCCAAGAGCCATAATGCAAAATGCAAAACATTTTTGAAGATGTGGTTCCATAAAATAAAACTTAAATTTTGGTCTCTTCAAAAGACAACATCTTAAGCAATTTGAGAAGTATTTTGTCCTAGCAACTCCAGGATGAGAAGGATATGCAACAGTGAAGGACCAACTACTTGAGTTCCTGTCCCTGAGGAAGTACAATGTAGACAGTACCCTGTGGAGGTGTTTTGCACAGTTGTGGTACTGCTAAAAGAGAATGGAAGATGTAAGAGGTGGTGGTGGTTGCGAGACCAATGTCAGAGGAGGGCAGAAGACCGAGGGCCTTGAGAGTTGAGCTTATGCTTTTGAGTATGCCTAGACTTTCTCAGGGTTCATGTTCACTACAGCTTAATAATATGAGGGAAGCCTTCGTCATGACAGTGATTTCCTTATACCTCTTATTGAATGTTTTTAAAAGATAATACAAATGTAAACAGTGATATTCTGAACTGCAGGAAGTGGACTTTTTTCAGAAAAATAATGTCCTTTTTAAATTTAGAAAGCCAGTTTTATAATGTAATAAATATACACTAAAAAGAAAAACATAAATTTCCCATGATGATGTTGTACAGGAATGGGAGCATCTTGATTTAACACAAATCAAAGAAATAAAGCGGTTCTGGCACTTCCACTAATTAATCAGCATTCTTTTGGCTTTCATTTAAAATGTCTTTAAAAACTTGGTCTTTATAACCAAATTATTAGCTGACAGGCATGCCAGCCAATGGGAAGTATCCCTTTGTCAGAGAGAGAACTCTGAACCTTCTAACATATTTCTGTAGATTTTTTCTCAAATAAAGACAGAACTAGAGCTTTTATTCTCACATTCATCCATGAATCACAGGAAATGGACATATGGGAGGAAAAGGGAGCATAGCAACAGGTGATGCTACACCAGACCCCACTAAAACCAACATGCAGCAAGACAAGAGGCCAGCCAAGAGGACCATCTGATACCCAGATGCCACTGCTGAAAAAATTCATTTCAAAGCTTGGCAGCAATTTCCTGCATCTGTCAAGTTAACCACATAAAAGACTATAGATTGACATGAAGAACCAGGCTGACAAAGAGGGCAAAAAAGAACATATCAAATGCCATAATCATCAAGAGAATGTGGTGCCAAATGAATGTTGCAAATGCATTCATTTACTCAAGTGATCCAGGATTGTATTGCTGTTTATTAAAAATGATGTCAAAAGAAGCTTGAACTGTCTACAGAAACATGTAGAAAAGCCCAGAGTTGTAACTTAACAGAAACTTTCTTTTCTGCAAGATAATATCTTGCTTTCTTTTCACTTTTAGAGAATGTGCTTTTTTAAAAAAGCAGATATTTTTACTGTTTTTAAAGTGATTCAGTTAACCTACACTTATTCCACTTCTTTAAAGAAGAAAAAACAAACAAAATGCTACAGAGAGCATGAATTTACATGTATATATCTCTATATAATATATATGATATCTTACATTCTCAAACTTTTACATTTATAACTTCATTTACTCTTGAGCCACTCAAAGGATGATGAGGTGCAATGAGTTGGAGTTTTGCTTATTTTGAGTTCCCTCATACTCATGGAGTAGTAAGCCACTAAGCTAGTGAGTTGGGCCTAGCCCATGACATGCAACACAGTTTTATTGTGTACATAGTAACATTCATGAAATGATAAAACATTTTTATTGGTAGGAGAGACATAGTCTAAAAGAAAACCAACTACTAGTTCTGGCAATGGAGATAAAGAAAGCGAAAATATAAAATCTAAGTTTGGTAGAGATAAAGAATAAAATGAAGAATTCTGAATTGACTTGGATATATGATGTAGAGTTAGATTCATGATGTAGCGTCTGCCAGGTGCTTGATACAGAAACAAAAAAAATGGTTAATTAAACAACTTCAGAGAATACTCTAACCAAGGCAACAATGAGTCTTCAAGTGAGAAAAGAAAATTAGTAAAAACTGAAAATGGTTTCGCAAGAGATTAACTTATGGCCTGGGAATATATTCAAGAAATACAGTTTTAGTAAAAATGTGGTACTATCCAAAGCCAGGGAGTGTTTACAAACATTTCAGTGAAGCAACAGGCAGGAAGAACACCTATGGAACAAACTGCTACTCTGAGTAAATAATGTTTTGAGAAGCTGATTTTGTTGTTGTTAACAGGAAAACCAGTAATATCAGACCACATTTCTACTGAGATTTATAGGAGGCAAGGGCTATCAGCCCCCAAAATTTTCAATGTAGATAAAATATGTCTTTACTAGAAGAAACCTTCTAGAAATTATCCATATCCAAGGAGAAAGAGAGAGTGGCGATTCACAATGGCCAAGAACAGACTGATTATTCTACTTGCGGCAATATAGCAGAGTTTATGATGAATCCAGATTTGTTCTATCATTTACTAAATCCAAGGTGTTAAGGGACAAAAATATGAAATTTTGACTACATATTTATTTGTACAATAAAAATGGTTTAGTAACATAGCCTCAAGTTTATTTCAGTGACAAAAAATATCAAATGCTTTAGGTCTGCATTTAATTCTACAAATGTAAGTACTTAAAAGGGCCACTCAAAGAATACTTCACTACATTTTCGTTATTTGCACTAGATGTAAAGGGAGAAAGTCATGTATTTGTTAAGATGGAGCTTTGGAAAGGTTGTGAATGTCAAGGGCCTATATGGGCTCATGAAGAACAAGGAGCAAGACCAGGTGACATGTGATTCACATAGTTGAGAGACCTAGAAAGAGCACGAATACAGAATGGGCCAAATGGTAATATCTCCTGTGCAAATTTTCTTTTACCTACATATTTTGTTTGAACATAATTTGAATTAATATTGAGGCAAAATGGTACCTGAATCAGTTTATAACCTTTATACAAGATAATTTTTAGTTAAATCACTAGAATTTCTGCCTAATTATAAAAGCTAAAAAAAAATTTCTTTGAGAGGTAAACAATGATTATATGGCTTATTTTCTTCCTAAAATTGGAGTTTTTAGTTCAATTTAAAACATGTGTCATTTAATGAGACATATGCAGCCATTAAAAATGATAATTCCATTTCCTATTGTTGATATGGGATGATTACCATGATAATATTCTTACATAAAATACAAGCAGTATATACAGTATGAAAAAATATATTGGGGTATATGTTAAAATGCAAACAGTGTTGCCTTTAGGTAATAAAATTATAATGTTTTTCAGTTTTGTCTTTTAACTTTTCTATATTAGCTTATAATCATAAAAATAGAGATGATTTCAGTTTTAAAATTATAATTAATGTCTAAGAAAATGTTTCCTCCTTCTTAGAGAGTAGCAGAGTAACACAATATTCAACATAAAGTACTTAAACTTGTTTTATAGATCTATTTAACTATGCAACTTCAATAATAAAATCATGATGATATTTGCTTTTGCAGAAGGCATGAGCCAAGATGCCCAGCAGAATGAACTCTTTTTAAAAAAGGTTTTGAAGACTCATAAGTTACTTTCCAAAAGAGAATGAACAACGTCCTTTGTTTTAAGATGTACTTACAGTCTCTCCAATATATACACACGATTCTTTTTTAGTAATACTTATTACAAATAAATGTGATTTATTACATTTATGTTATTATACCAAATCAACGAGTTTAATCAGAGATTTTTTTTCATCTTTTGAACATAGTTATAACATCCCATAAAGCATGATTTCTGTTGCTCTGACAAATGATTTTTTTCTTCCTACGGCTTAGAAGGTATGTGAAAATAGCTGGCAATTTCCCTATGACACCAGAACAAAACAAGATTGTACATGTTTTTACAAGGTTTGATTCAGATTATTTTCAACCATTCTATGATTTCATTGATTTTTACTTAACATATTCCTGTAAGTGGCAGTGTTCACATTACATATCTCAGACAAATGCATATCAGTCAACAACTTTACTTATTCACAATTGCAGAATGTGGGTCATAATATAAGTAAGATAAATCCATATTTAGTTACTCTCTTTATAAAAATAAGTTATTGAAATTTGCAGTAAGACCCAAATATGTCACAAACTATAGCATTTGTGACTGGGTTTTGTTGTTATAGGTAGACAGAATAGTAATTTTAAAAAATGAAAAATAGTTGAAGATATATTTTTTCCAATAATGAATTCAATGCAATAGACCTACTTTAGGTCAAATAAAGATATAAAGAAATTCCAGATGTAAGACAAGTTGGTAAGGTTGTAGCCTTGCTAAAGTTAGAACTCTGACAATATTTTAAATTTTAAGCTCTGAAGGTGAAATCTCAGATTTTAGAGCTCAGCCAAATGCTATAAACAAATAAATTCTTATCTCACTGTAGTACAAAGTATCTTGTAAGACAATAAAAATTATGAATCTAAAAACATTATTTTAATATTTCACTGTACAAGTGAATACAGATATAGTCAAGGTCTAATGAACTGATAGTAGTTAAATCAGAATGATCTAGATTAAAATGAATGTTAAAATGAATGTTATACCTTTAGCTTATGCTCTTTTCTATTGATGATGACAGCTGTAATTTGTTGATCCATAAAAATTAGAATAGTACAAAGCAAAGCTGGAATAATAGCAGCTATTACTGTCCACCATGGATTTGGACCTAAGGGTGTAACAAACCAGCCACGATCATCTCTGGTGGGCTGTAAAAAGTAATAGAAGTTACATAGTTATTAACTGGATTAATGTATAGCAAATCAAATTAAGTCTTACAGATGCTGCTAGGAAAGCCCTGTTTATAAACTGATGAACTATGTGAGTTATAATTAATAATAATCCACATAAAGCACTTATAAAGTGGCAGGTACTATTCTAAGTGCTTTAAATATTTTATTTTTAAAAATGTAATTCATTTTTTTCTTCATAACACCCTAAAGAAAATGATACAGATAAGAAAACTGAGGCAAAAAGCGATCAAATAAATTGCCCAAGGTACCGAAGCCAGTAAGTGGTAGGAATGGGGTTTGAATTCTGACTCAAAAATCTGTGTTCTTAATCAATACCTATATTAAATAAAGTAATGGTAGATTTATTTACATTTACAAATAGCATGTCAATTAGCACTGTGTTAGAACTAAGATACAAAGATAAATACATCAGAGCCTTCTTTCAGTTTAGAATCAGAGACAGACATATAAAGAGAATGTTTTCACTGTGATATTGTAACTTATTTTTAATGTGTGCACAGGCTGTTGCAGGAAAATGAAAAAAAAAAAAAAACTCTAGGTCACATCAGAGGTTCAGGGAAGGGTTCCAAGCATGGCTGATGCCTGAGATGAGTTTTAAAGGAAGTCATTCCATCAACAGCCCTATGAGAAAGCCTCAAGCCTTGTTTGACAAATGAGAAAATAGAGGTTTAGAGGGGATTAATAACTGGTCCAATGTCCCATACAGGATGGGCAACCCTAAGCTGGACACCTGAAATCGGAAATGCTTTGAAATCTGAACCTTTCTGAGCACTGACATGACTCACAAGTGAAAAATTCTACAACTGACCTCATGTGGTAGGTCACACATATTATCAAACATATTGCATAAATTACTTTCAGGCTATGTGTATAAGGTGTATATGAAACATAAGTGAATTTTGTGTTTAGACTTGTGTACCATCTCCAAGATATCTCATTATATATCTACAAGTATTGCAAATTTTGAAAAATTGAAATCCCAGACACTTCCGGTCCCCAAAATTTCGGATAATACTGAACATGTATCTCATTAGTAACATGGTCAGAATTCTATTCTAGATCTCTTTTTATCATTTTGCAAGCCTTATCAACTGTGCAATACTGCATCAAGATAGTGTATCTCCCTTAGTTTAGAAATGTTTCCTTATCTTTTAGGAATGTTGTATATAGATATTTCAACTGGATAGTTGACAGGAAATTTTTTCAAGCAATCTTTATGTTTTATGATTCTTTATTTTAAAATATTAGACCAAAATTCTATTCATGCTGTGTGTATTTTATTTACTGCTCTATTAACCTATATTCTTCATATTTTCATGAAGATCCCAAGTACTAAGGATATAGAGATCATTTAAATGAAGATTAGTCCTAGAGAGCTAGAGAGAGAGAGAGACAGAAAGAGAGAGAGTGCTGTGATAAATTCACCTTGAAAACACTTGGTACTTGTAGCTTTGGAGATGGGATCCCAATGGCATAGTCAATTAAAACCATACACAGAATTGTAAGAAAGACAGCAAAGTCACTCACTATGGATCGAACCTAAAAATAATGAAAACATTTATCACTTGAAGGAGCTATAAATATTAAGGAATATTCAGAAACATAATCTAGAGTCAGATTTTTAAAAACACTTTATGACATATCATAATATTATAATTTATGCATATTATAAGATTACCATTAGCTCTGTCAGAACCTGGATATATATTTATGTATCACTGTCGTTAAGATTGGTACACACCCAACTTTCCATAATGAGGCATTATGGAATAGCTATATGGTGGATGTGCTGTTTTCAATATTTATTTAAAAGTCTAAGCTTATCATGAACCCAAAGTGTGAATATTTAGAACACAGTATAAGATGGCATGGCCAGAATTTAGCTGAATTTTAGGGCTCCTTTTCACACAGGTAATGTTTTAATATGATAAACCTGAAGCACTATAAAATAAAATTATTTTTATCAAAGAAGCATAATGTTTTAGCTAGTTTATCTAGGATATAAGTATGGCAGTTGGGAACATACACAACAGAGTGGGCAAATTTAAAACTTATTCTATGTAAGCCAATTTTTAAATCCATTTCTCATTTATAAAGCCAATTTTGAGCAAATATCCTCATACAATTATCAACAAGATCTGGTTTCTTTTAGGATGCCTTATGATATACACACAAACATACACAAATGCTTAAGATTATTGTTTCAATTTACAAAGAATTTTTTTAAATCAGAGTTTTTGGAAGAAATAAAAGAATTTTCCATCTTAGAGAAGGAAAAGGTGACAAAAATGAAGCCCTCTTTGAAAGAAACGGTTCTTGAAACAGTTTCCAGAGTGGAATTTTGATTATAATCTATAGCTCATCCCTAAAAAGCTTGTTTTCTTGTTTCTTTTCTTTTCTTTTTTTGGCGGAATCAGACATTATAGGTGTTACTTTGCAGTGTTAAATATTGAACTAAGCTGTTTCTCTGTTTACTTTCCTTTCCAAATATGCAGATGCAAACGTGGCGAACTAGGGGGAGGGACTGACACTTTAGAAAACTGAAAAAGAGAATAATGTTCCAGTGAGTCTTGCAAGGACTTTCCCAATTAGAGAATTAACACAGGTTCCTCCAAGGTATCTATCAGGCTGGAATAGTTCCCACTGCTCACTGGGCAAGAAAGTGACAATCAGTAATGTAGTGTGTGCCATGAATTTCCAAAAATGTCAGTGGGATAGTGGGAGTTGGTCTGTATGGTTTGCAATTAGGAGAAAGCCTGCAGTGTGTGTGCACTCCTGGGTACCTGCATCACAAAATGCTTTCTCTTCAGCCCTCTCAGATTACCCCACCCCTAACCTGGCAGTACTCACACAAAAGCCTTTCAGTGGCTCCTGTGATTACATCAACTTCACTTTTGTCCTAAAATACATAGGATTTCATGCTGTATGTTGGTTTACATCTAAATCAGGAAAATTACATTCTAAGTACCTTGGTTGGAAAATATCGGCTAGTTTTGAACTGCTTCAGCGTGGCTGACAGAGTAACTGTGGAAAAGAACAGGATCACTGACCAAAATAATACATCTGGAACATATGGATGATCATGGCCACAGGCTCGTCCAACATACTCTCCATGCAATGATTTGCATTCCTGCCAGAGGAAGTAAAACAAATGGAGCTATTAAGACAAAACCGAACACATTTCTTTCAGAAAAGGACTACCTTCTGATCAATTGTTATTGAGATGCTGAAGCTTTATACTTATGGCAAAGTTTTATAGTATGTAAAAATTGGACATGAACCACTTTTAAATTTTACCTTTAAATCTGTAAAACTAATTACATACTAATTTATGTATATATAAAAATATATATGTATGTGTGTGTATATATATATATTAGTATCTCTAAGTTCCTAATACCTCATTTATTGAAAACATGGCTTTTTTTTTTAGTTGGAGTCTCACTCTGTCACCCAGGCTGGAGTACAGTGGCATGCTCACAGTTACTGCAGCCTTGACTGCTGGACTCAGTGTTCCTTCTGCCTCAGTCTTCAAAGTAGCTGGAACTATAGGTATGTGCCACCATGCCCAGCTAATATTTTGATTTACTATTAAGATGAGATCTCACCAAGTTGCCCAGGCTGGTCTTGAACCCATGGGCTCAGGCAGACATCTCGTCTCAGCCACCCAAATTGCTGGGATCACAGGTGTGAGCCACTGTGCCCAGCAAATATAACATATTTGATAGTGACAATATGCCAAGCCATTTAAATACATCATTTTAATTATTTTTCACACCAATTCAATAAAATAGGTAGATGTTATTATTTCCACTTAATGTTTGAGGAAACTGACGCATAGACAGGTTAAATAATTTGTTGTAGTCTTACCCGCTGCTGGGTGGCAGCTGCGATATAAACAATTTCTGTGGTGGGAATATTATTGCATATTAAAGAACAATGCTCTTGTAGAACTGTCTAGCGCAAAAGCTACCAAGAAATATGAGAAAGTCAACAGAAAACTATGACCTATAATCACTGAAATGAAATTGTGAGTCAAAGACAGGACTACTGAACTTGGATTAAAGAACAAATGAGACAAAATTACTACATGAGCAAGACAAAGTTCATATTTACTATGATTTCTTCATGCTTGGTTTATTCCTGTACTGTATAAGCTTTTGGAAACTCATCTCTAATTACAGCCTTAGCCATGAGGTGGCAGCAAAGTCAAAAAGAAAAACTGAGTATTTTAAATATTAAATATTTTGAAAGACAAAAATATTTTGAACTATTTTGTTTCTCTTATTTAATTAGAAATTAGGTTACTAAAGTTTTTTACATTTTCAAAACTAGAATATAATGATTTAAATGATCTAGTGGCCTCATTAATCCTTGAGATAGTCTAACTGAAGAGAAATTGAATTGTACAGAGAGATCTTTAAGAAAACCACAGATTGATAGATTGATCACCAACCCAGTGTCTGCCTAATGAATCAGATCTCAACCCCTAGAATTCTTGTATGGAAGAAAATAAATATCCTTCAAAAGATTCTAGAATAAATCACAAATAGCTACATAGTCATTTGAAAACAGCTAGTAAAATCTATTTGGAGAAGCTAGTTACCCTAAGACTAAGGTCATTGAGAAATATAGTTAGTATTTCTAAAAGTATGTCAAAAGAATCTGCTCCCTTTTCTAACTTACTGCAAATACCTTCCTTGATAGCTAAAGCTGAATTCCAATTATCCATGTTAAGCTAATACAGAGCACAATAACTTGGCTAACTGAAAAATCACAGAAAAATCCCCTAGAACTTAATTATACCTTTAATTTTTCTTCTCTCAAAACTCTGTAAAAATAAAATTACAAAAATGAATCCTTGTGTTTTTCAGCCGCTTGTCTTGCACTTGTCCAGAGATGCTAGTAATTTCTAAGCAACGTAATGAGTAAGCAGCATAGATAAATACAAAGAGCTACAAGTTCTATGATAAATATATCATCTATAGATTTGTGAGCATCCTCCGTCATACCTGCCAGGGGAGGGCAGGGGCAGGATTTGGGATTTGCAGTAGTGGGAAACTACGGGGGGTGGGGAACACTTCATCAACAAGGTTACCTGTATAAAGAACATTTGTATACCTAACCCTGATTTGTACCCCACATATTTAAAATAGATCATTAAAAATAAATAAAATTTTTAAAATGTCTTCTAAGTATTCCTTGGATTCAGCTAGGTCTCATTGTTCTCAATTCTTAAGAACACAGATGCAATTTAAAGAGTAACTGTCTTATACTCTATAATAAATTGCCAATGGCCTGCCTAGTTACTTTAATTCAAAACAAAATTGAAAATGTCATTTAATTTTTCTTTCCCTTGGAAGAAACAGGATGCTAATTTAAAAAAATAAAAATCGGGCAACCCCCTCCGGTCCCCTCCCACTGTGGGAGTTTTCTGTCTTCTCAATAAATCCTGCTTTCAATAAACAAACAAACAAATAAATAAAAATAAAAATCGTGGCCTACTAAATTCAACATTTATTTGCAGGTTTATACTAATTGTATCCTCAACACACACACACACACACATGAGCACGCGCAAGCTCAAATACACATACAGAATAAGTCCTGAAATTTAGAAGTAAAAGCCAAATCCAAATTCTGCTCTCTTCTTTTGAGTCTAACATATGTTTTCACTTACAATGGGTACTCAAAAAATGCTTGTTGACAAACTGATTTCTACTAATTACTCTTCAAACACATTCTAAAGTTCAATAATTCTATAAGTTGGTAAATTTAAGTTTGAGAACACAAGAAATTAAAGTTAACATTAGTGCCTTGCCCCTTATATATGTACAAGTTAAATCTGTCATTCAGGCACTGAAACAATTCTTATGCAAATGTCAATTAACTGCTTGTGAATATTTTGAACCTTGCCTAAAGATTTCTAATAAAGGCTGATTTTGAGATACTGATTAAATATTTATAGAAAAAGAAATCAAAGTATTCTAGCTGGCCATAAATTTTGCATTAAATAATAAGATGAAACTATCTTATGAAAGTCATTAAGTATTTATTAAATACTTAGCACCTACTATGCATATAGCAGTTTGGGAGAATCAAAGAAAGCTTAAGTTATTTGCCATTGCAGAGTTGACAAAATATAAATTACAATTCATGAGATATATAACAACTCAATAAACAATACAAGATCTGCCAAATAAATAATATGCAAGCTAAATGTGATATCACCATTTGAACAAAATTAATTATAATAACCACTAGCTTAGTGCTTTATTAATAAAATTTTTTGATGGTGGTATGATTGTACTGAAAAAAACAACAACATAGCAATTAAGAAAAAAATTTTAATCGTCTTCTTTGACTTAAAAATTACAAGATTTTTATTATATGCCATTCCCTTTGGCGATAAGGGTTATTTCTGGTCAAGATTAGCAATTATCCATTGCAAAAACTGCTTTTAACTAATGAAAAAATAATATGAAAATTTCTGCCTGAATGTTAACACCTAGTACAGAACGTTAAAAAAAAAGACCAAAGCAGGGGGGGCGGAATAACCCTGCAATGCTATATTTGCTTTGATTGCAAAATATTTTTCACTGCGCTCTGCTTGACCCTAAAACTTTTCATTTCTAACTCTTGGCTAGCTAGATGAACTGTGCTGAAAGTCTGTCTGTTAGAATCTTCAAATATTCAGGATTTACTAACACATAGAATGTTATTATTTAGTATTAAATTATTCAGGGAATATAAAACACATAAAAGTTATGTTAAATAATTTAGAGATGTGATAATTTGCACTTTCCTATTCAAGGGTACATATAGATAAAAGAAATAAAAAAGGGGCTTTTTAGACATGATATAGTTTACAAAAGGGGAATATAGATAGAAGACCCACTACTAAATGGATCCACCATACTCCCGTGTCTAAATATTGAATAACTATAGCATTCTTTCTTGATCAGCTTATCAATTCTTTTATTGTTCAATTTAAATAGCTTTCTGAGTAGAAGCAGCCTGGCAATGTTATTTTTCTGGGCAAAACAGATAAAACAGAATAAACATTAACAATAACAAAATAAAACAAGAATAAATGTTGATTTATTCTAGAGTAAAGGACTAGGGAAAGACTAAAGATAGTAAAACATAGATAAAGTACAATTTTAAACAAAGAGTAAGCAATTTCATTTCAATTCAACAGTACACATATAATGGGGGAAATTGAGAAAATAGGCAACAGATTATGACAACAAAAAGATTTCTATGTGCCTCTCATTGGACCACTTACTAATTTGATCAAATGAACTAGAACTCATATTGTTTTGTACTGATTTTTACAATAAAATGTGATCTTATACAGATAGGTATAGTGACATCACTTTGGACTATAATGTTTGCAACTGGAAGGGATAAAAAAGACACTAGGGATAGTCAGATTTAATATTTATTAAAAGCAGGACACTTTTTCAAGTTACAAGATTTTGTAGAATGGAAGTAAAGAATGCAAATATAGCTGGGAAAAGAGGTGCACAAGCATTATAACAGATTAAGGAAAATTAAGAAATGCAGCTATAAGAAAAAAAAGAAATCACAAAATAGAGAAAGGCCAAAGAAAATAAAACAAAGGTCCAGGATTTAACTGTTATAGGTGAAAAATACTCCCTTTCTTGAGTGGGAGATAATAATAAAATGGAAGCAAGAAAGTCTTGTTGAAAGACATGCCACAATTTTAAGAAAAGTGACATTTGTTCTTTGCAAAGACTTTAGTATTAACACTAAAATATTAAAAACATCCCCTCCCCCTCAGCATATTATGAACAGCTGGAGCAGTATTACAGAGTAAAGTAAAAGCATTCTGGGTTCTTTACACAGAAGGCAGACTTAATTCTGCCATATGGTTTCATTTAGGTCAACACCACTCAGGTTTAATGTACTTTCAGTTCATCTCAGTTATATCACGCTGTATATGTGGGCTTTTAGAGCAATTCAAGCCTACTACCTATTAGAAAATCTTTAATTTAATAATAAAATATAACCCTAGTTTACTGATGAATATCTGAAATGAATGAAATTAAAATTAAACTATCACTTTTATAATATTATATATTCAAAAAATTTACCTTGGTGGCAATGATTGATTCAAAATGTCAATAAGAGCTCTTACAGTAGTAGTACTCAAAATATGACTTATTTTTCAATGTTTTACTTACTGAGACAGTTAGATTCTCCCAAATTATGTCCGAGGCAGAAATATTGGACTCCTTCCATTCCTTCAATGTATCATTGCTGGGATTATGTGGTTCCACACAGTTACACCTGAAAAGAAAAGTAGTGTCTTTTGTGAAATAAGTAGCTTTTTGTCACTGTACTCAAGACAAATGGGATCCTTTTCCCTAGTCACAGTACTCCTTTATCTGACAGACAAGTAGTTAGATCATCCTAAATTACTCCATAACACATTATTTCCAAAACTCGAGATAGATATGTTGCTAGAATAATAGACCATCCTACAGTGTTTTCTAAGATGAGAGGTCCTAACGACAGTCATTTTCCCCTAAATAATAAGCCTAGTAGAAAAATAATAAATATCCAAATCCACTGTTATAATATACTTTATTTAATATTGTATAATCATAGCAATTAAGAGATATTTAATGCATATTCTAAAGATCATTTATAACTGCTACATAATTCAAAATCAAGGCCATGTTGAAGTTAAAAACCTAGATATCTGAGAATATACTATTCTTTGTGATGAGTGGTAGCCCTACTAAAAATCATACAATCTACAATTTTTTTTGAGTACATGTATAAGGTAACATGCTGAATACTGGATTGGGATGGGAACAGCTAGAAAAAGAAAGACTTGGGAATAGTGTTATTATTTTTAAATAGAAAACACAATTTCTGGGGAGGCAGGGGGAAGATGGCAGCCAAGTCAGTCGGATTATACGAGTCCTGGTGTGAACGAGTGAGTATATGGAAAATTTTGTGTATGTACTGGTGAGAAAGTAGGTGTGTGAGGGACTGACTCAGCAAGGGCTAGGGAGCCAGCGACCAGGGCTCTCCTGGTGCAGCAGCTGGTGCCACAGCTGCTAGGCTTGGACTTTGGCAATTCCCTGGACGCAGAAGCTGAGTGCCATTTTCTTTTTCTTTCTCTCTCTCTCTCTCTCGCTCTCTCTTTATCAACAAAACCCTCGCTGGGAAGAAAATGCTGGGAGAGACTGTCTAAGTGGGGGCTCGAGAGCAAGTGGCCAGGCCCCTGGTGCAATTAGCTGGTGCTGCAGCTTCTCTGCTTGGTCCCTGGCACTTCTGAGGTCGCAGAAGCCCAGTGCCATTTTTTTAAGGGACAGAAGTTTTTCTGTGAAAAGTGGAGGGGAGAGACTGTCACCCCAGGCTCTCCCTCACCATTTGCAAGGGAGACTGAAGCTCCAGGCTTTGCCTCACCACTTCAGCGCCTGGCAGGGCACTGGAAACAGGGGCTGTGGAGGGAGTCCAGAGGCAAAGTTCCACAGAAGAGGACAAGAGAGGCAACCCACCACCATCTTGAAGGGGGGGCAGGAAAGTGCTCGGACTTGCTCACCACGAGCAACAAACCCGATCTCTGTGACTGGCGGATCAACTACTCAGGGACTGATCATGACCCAGAGGGAATATCTTCAAACCACAAACTTTGGAGGGAGCTGACAAGTGCTGAGTTCCAGGAGACCCACCCCCTACCCTGATCCAGCTCTAACACAAAGGGTGTGACCAGAAAAGGACGAGGAAGGACTCCAAAGAGATAAGTGGTGAGTCCAGGGCTGACCTAAACCCCCTCCTCCCCAGCAATCTTCTGAACGTCAGACCCACATAGCTGAACCACATCTGAGAGGGACAAACCTCAGCAGAGCCTGGACGTCAGTCACAATAGGAGAACTCCATTCCAGGATAGACCTGGCTGGGGCACCCCTGCAAGTACAACCCTGTATCTTCCCACGGGAGGAGATCTCCCTGACCATATGAGAGTGGAATGGGAGGACTGCAGCCCCACCCACCTTCACTGCCCCTCCTTCTTCCCTGCTCTGGACACTGAGGAGAGAGTGAAAGAGGTGGCTCTGAAGGAGAGACCTGATTAGAGGAACAATTAAAGAACCTGCCACAAGAGGGCAGGGTTTTTTTTAATTTTTAATTTTAATTTTTTTAAAATTTATTAAAATTCTTTGTTAGTTTATCCATTTTTAAAATATTTTTACTTTGTGCATGAATGTGTATGTGAGGGCTTGATCTGCATCCCCCCCAATTTTTTTTCTTTTTCAGTTTCTTTCTTCTTTTATTTGTCTTTTTCTGTTTATGTGTGTATATGAATGATTGAGTATTCATCTGTCAATGTTGTTGTTATTAGTTTGTTTTTGCTCTTTTGTTCTTCTGCGTTTTTTATTTTCATTTTTTATAATTTAAGGTGTTTGTCAATATATGTGTGAGAGTTTGATCCGAATTCCTTTTTTTTCCCCATCTTTCTGTTTTACACTCTCTTTACTTTGTGCTAGTAATGTGTTACATCACTCTATTCAATTTGTGCTAGGAATTTTGTTACACTTTGTTGTTATTCCAGTTTGTTTTGGGTGTGTGTGTATGTCTGTGTCTGTGTGTGTTCAGTTGTTTTTTCCATTGGTTTCTGCTTTGCATTGTCATATAGAGTGGTGGTGGGGAGTGAGTCTCAGGAAACACATACCACAATAAGTGAACATTGTAATTTGCAAGTAGTTTCTGAATCCTAGCACCCCATCCCCTACTTTAGTAGACTTTCAAAAACTACAAGAGACAACAAAGTTTTCTACCCACCATTCTATTTCAAAATAGAACAAATCCAGAGCCTGGAGTAGGGAAGAATAGAGGACTGAGCAAATATCAGAAAGGAAAGCCTCTCCCACTGACACTGAATAACAGAAATAAAAAGAAAAACAAGAGATCTGTCACAAGTGAGGAAAAATCAAAGTAAGACCACAGGCAATTTCAAGTGTACCAAAGACAAAGCTCCTGAAAAATCAAGCCTTGGTGTTCAAACAATGGAAGTCACCAACAAATGGCCTCAAAATATGACAGGGATTAGGGAATGGATGGAAAGAGTAAATAAAACTCAAGAAAGACAAGATGCAACACTGAAAGAACTTGTAACAGAGATTTTGGCAATAAAAAATTTCATCCAAGAAATAAATAATAAGATGACAAGCATGGAAAGCAGAATGAATCTAGCTGAAGAAAGAATCTCAGAACTTGAAGACCAGAACATGGAATTAACCCAATCTGTAAAAAACATAGAAAGAAGACTCAGAAAGAAAGAACAAAGCCTATAAGAGATATGCAATTATATCAAGAGGCTGAACCTATATCTGATTGGTATCCCAGAAGAAGAAAGAGAAATGGAGAACAACTTGGAGCAAGTTTTCCAGGAGGTAATCCAAGAAAACTTTGTCCATCTCACCAGAGATGTGACCAGCCAGGCACAAGAGATACAGAGAAGCCTGACAAGACAAAAGAGAAGGCCAACCCCTAGACACATAGTAATTTGCCTATACAAAGTAGGCACAAAAGAAAAAAATCCTAAAGGTAGCAAGAGAGAAAGGTCAGACTACCTACCAAGGAAAACCAATCAGAATAGCAGCAGACCTGTCGGCAGAAACACTACAAGCAAGAAGGAACTGGAACCCTATATTCAAAGTCCTCAAAGATAAATAATTTCAACCATGAACTTCCTATCCAGCCAAGCTCAGCTTCCTCAGTGATAAAGAATTAAAATCCTTTCCAGATATCCAGTCCCTAAGAGATTATGCAGGTTCCAGACCAGCTCTACAGGAGACACTTAAAAAGGTATTAAGCACAGAAGAAAGAAAAAAAAGAATGACCACATACTTTCCAAGAGAACAGCAGAGCACAAAATCAACAGAGAATACAGTGTAATAAGAAACTTGAAAACACACGCATACAACAACCCTAAAGCCAAAAGAAAACAAGCAAAGAAAAAACTTTATAATAACCTCATGACAGGGATAAACAATCACATTTAAATAATTAACCTGAATGTGAATGGACTAAATGCATCACTGAAAAGACACAGAATGGCAAACTGGATAAGAAACCATGACCCAATTATTTGCTACATCCAGGAGACTCACGTCACTACAAGGGATGCACACAAACTCCAAGTTAAAGGATGGAAAATGAGTTTCTAGGCAAATAGATCACAAAAGAAGGCAGATGTTGCAATGTTAATATCAGACAAGCCAGGCTTGGTGGCTCAGCCTGTAATCCCGCGCCTTTGGGAGGCTGAGGTGAGTGGATTGCCTGAGCCCGCGGGTTCGAGACCCACCTGGGCAGTGAGACCTCATCTCTACAATAAATCAAAAAATCAGCCGGGTGTGGTAGTGCATGCCTGTAATTCCAGCTACTCAGAAGGCTGAAGTAGAAGGATCGCCGGAGCCCAGCAGGTGAGGCTGCGGTGGCTGGGAGCGGCCACTGCACTCCAGTCTGGGCGACTGAGTGAGACTCCAACTCAAAATATATATATATATCAGAAAAGCAAACTTTAAGCTACGAAAAATTTTAAAAATATGCAAAAGGATATCCATAATGATAAAAAGCTTCAATTCATCAATAAGAAATATGCATCCTAAACATATATGCATCCAACACAGGAGCATCAGCATTTATAAGGCAACTACTAAGCAAACTAAAAAAAGATATTGACTCTAACACTATTATAGCAGGGGACTTGAGTATCCCACTAACAGCCCTAGATAGATATTTGAGACAAAATATCAAAAAGGAGATCCAGAACCTAAACTTGACACTTGACCAAATAGACTTAATAGATACCTACAGAATATTCCACCCAACAAATACAGAATATACATTCTACTCATCACAACATGGAATTTACTCCAAAATTGATCACATCTATCCTCGGCCATAAATAAAGCATAAACAAATTCCATAAGGTTGAAACATTGCCATGCACTTTCTCAGGCCACAGATAAATAGAAATAAATATCAACAAAACAAAATTTCTCCAAAGCCCACAAAGACATGGACACTAAACAGAATGATGCTGAGCAACTACCTTGTCAACACTGAAATCAAAACAGAAATTAAAAGATTCCTGGAAACAAAAGAAAATGAAGAAACATCTTACCAAAACCTGTGGGATGCCATGAAATCAGTTCTAAGAGGGGAGTTTATATCTCTACGAGCACACATCAAGAAAACAAAAAGATCACAAGTGGAGAACCTAACAAATCACCTAAGGGAACTGGAAAGAGAAGACCACAAAAATCCCAACT